GTCCAATTGCATTTAACTTGATGTTAATGTTATATTTAACCTTATATTAATTCTTGTTAATCTTTTTTGTTATTGTTGTTTTTTGTTTGTTTGTTTGTTTGTTTTTTTGGAGACAGGGTTTCTCTGTGTAGCTTTGAGCCTATCCTGGCACTCACTCTGTAGCCCAGGCTGGCCGCTAATTCACAAAGATCTGCCTGCTTCTCAAGTGTTGGGATTAAAGGTGTTTGCCAGCACCATCCAGTAATTCATGTTAATCTTGATGTAAAAGGTTTCTTCGTGTAATTTGGTCTCATTCCCCACAAAGTTGTATGGTTATTACCCCCTGACATGTTCTGGATCTTTGCTGACTGTTAAATTTTATCATGGCCCCTTGGATGGACCATCTCCTTAGACATTCTAACTGCTCCTCCCCTCTTTTCACCCTTCTCCCTTCTGTCAGCCTAGAAGTGGTTATTGGGATGCCCCCCAAACACTAAAAGTAGTTTGGATAACCTCTAAAAGCAGACTAATAGGCCATAACTCATCTCTCTTCCTGCCACTCTGAACATGGTTGTTGGGACTCAGAACTAAAGCAATTGGATGGAAGTCTCCTCTTCTATCAATTAACCTCTGTCTCACCAGCTCAGGTCAGCTTAACATCCTTCAGGACTAGCTACACACCTTGACTGCTACAGAACTCCACAGCTAAAAAGGACCAAATCTGACTGCTCTGCTGGGATTTGTGATTTCCTCTGTGAATGTGCTGTTTCCAGGCCAATACATCCTAACTGGTTTGAGATGAAGTTAGAGACAGAGACTAGAGAAAATTCAACCACAAGCCTCCAATCTGTGGCTTCTGGTTTCCTCCCCTCTGGATCTCCCTGGATCACTCTGGCTCTCCTTGAACCACTCTGGATCTCCCTGGATCACTCTGGCTCTCCCTGGATCACTCTGGCTCTCCCTGGAACACTCTGGTTCTCCCTGGAACACTCTGGTTCTCCCTGGATCACTCTGGTTCTCCCTGGATCACTCTGGTTCTCCCTGGATCACTCTGGTTCTCCCTGGATCACTCTGGTTCTCCCTGGATCACTCTGGATCTCCCTGGAACACTCTGGTTCTCCCTGGATCACTTTGGCTCTTCCTGGAACACTCTGGTTCTTCCTGGATCACTCTGGATCTCCCTGGAACACTCTGGTTCTCCCTGTATCACTTTGGCTCTTCCTGGAACACTCTGGTTTTCCTGGATCACTCTGGTTCTCCCTGGATCACTCTGGCTCTCCCTGGATCACTCTGGATCTCCCTGGATCACTCTGGCTCTCCCTGGATCATTCTTTCCTTCTTATTATCCGCATACTTATGCTTTACCCCACCTTTACAATGCTTTACTCACTGAACTTCATCCTCTATCTAAACAAAATGTTCCATATAAACTTTCCCAATAGCTCTCACCCTACAACAGCTCTATTTGTTCCTGATATGTTTCCAAAAAGATCTTTTAGGTGTTGTGGAGAAACTCCGGCTAAAAGGGACCTTCATCCTTTTCACCCCAGGCCAGATACAATTCTTTACATTAGTCATTTGTTTTCTCCTGTTCAATTCCTTTGATGCTCTGTGGCTCCCACTAATTCTGCTTTTTGTGCAGCAGTCCTGGCAATGGGATCACTCACTGTCACCCCGAATCAGCTCTATGCCTACTTTCTCTCACTGGCCCATTCTGTCTCTTTCACCTCTGCTCCTCCTTACTCCGTAACCTTCCTGGAAAACCTCTCAATTATACTCTAAACAAAATCATCTGTTTACAACCTTCTAATAATAATAATAATAATAATTAATAAAATACTTTTTCAAGTCTCTTCAGTAATGCAGGATGACAAGTGCACAATCCGTTGCCACTGATCAAGTTAGGATTTTCCCTTGCTATGTGACCAGAAGACCCTCTCTTCAATGGACCTGGAACCACCTTATCCAACAAAGACCCTCCTCAGCAGAAAACAGTTGTAACACCCCCACCCTGCATTTTCTTTTCTTTTTTTTAATATCCTCTCAGAGTTAGGAATGATAGTTTCCTGCTCAAAGACTACACTTCCCAGCTTCCCTTGTGGACTACGGAAGTCATTTCCGCCCCTATGAGGGGCCCGCATCCCATCTTCTTCTGTAGGCATTTTGGCCATCTGCACACGTGAGTGATAAAGTGCTTCCTGGCTGTGAATAAACATGGTCCCACCTAAGGTCAGACCAAGCTTCTCTTTCTTTCCTTCTTCTGTCTCTCTACAGCTGCCTTACATAATCTAACAGCTTGCATGGGCTTTGAGAGTTGAGTTTTGAGCATGTTTTCAAAGGGTTGAGCATGTGTTGAATTCTTGTATATGAGGGGATGCAGTAAGGGAGCTGCTGATGTGATTGCTCCATGGTAAGGTTAAGCTTTTTATTGGAGACAGGAGAGAGAGAGAGCAGCCAGAGGCATCTGGAGGAGACTAGAGCAGAGAGAGAAAGATGTAGGCAGAGCATCCGCCAGCAGACTGGATGAGGCCAGGGCTGGGGAAGCAGGAGGGCTGGAGAGAAGAGCGGAGATAGTGAGAGATAGAGGATAGAGCTTGTGAGAGCCCAGGAATAAGAGGTAGTCGGAACAGTAGACTTAGAATATGAGGTATAAGGAGGGAGGGGAGCTGGGAAGGGAGGCCAGGAGACTGGTGTGGGGACTTTGAAATGTATAACAAGTACTTATTAGTAGGGATTGAAGGAGCCTGGAGGCTGGCATGGCTTTGATATGCAGCCACATATGGCTCAATGGAACCATATGTCACTTCTGCCAGAGGTAAAAGGAAATGACAACCTTTTTTTAAAAAAATGATTTTTAAAATTTAAATTAGAAACAATCTTGTTTTACATGTCAATCCCAGTCCCCTCTCCTTCCCTTCCTCCTCTGCCCCCCACTGGCCCCCTATCTCATCCCCTGTCTGCTCCCCAGGGAGGGTGAGGCCTTCCATGAGGGAATCTTCAAAGTCTGGGGAAATGACAACTTTTGGCAGATGGGAACTAGTTTCAAAAGTTCCGGAGGAATGCTGGCTTTTATCTAACTCACAGAAATCCTCCTGTAGTTCAGCTTGAGCTCATTTCTGTATATTTGGACAGTTGAGGGAACTAATAGTCTAGCCTTTTGTTGGTGATAAGGGGTGATGTAGCTGGACTGGGAAGGGTTGTTGTGGCAGTTGAGGAAGGCCGGAATTTGAGTCAAAGGCCAGGATGGGGTGGGGGTGGTGGTAGAGGCAGGAGCTGGTTAGCAGAGTGAGCCTGAAGAGAGAGATACTGGAATAACCACATTGGCTAAACAATGTCAAGGGATCCCGAGTACATTTGGTCTGTTACAGGTGGATCCAAGTAGAAAAGCCCCTGAAGTTTACGTGAATTATTTGAAGCTCTCAAAAACAGAAAAGTTTTAGATATCAGCGTGACCACTGTGTGTGATCTGCACTGAAGTAGCCATCACAGGGGAAAGCTGTTAACAGATGTTCAGACACAGTAGGAGCAGACACATACCTTTGAGCCACAGCAAAACAAACTTGAAAGTTACCAGCATAATAAAAGCATGAACATTTATTTATCTGTAATAAGACAGACATTTCTTGGTGGGGAGACAAACAAAGGGGCAGAGTGCTTAGCACTTTTACGTCTATATTTAGAAAACAATCAAAGGAAATTTGAAATTTTGAGCCTGTCACTATGATAACTAAAAAAAAAAAATGGTTTAATACCCAATGTTTTATCAAGGCTAGAGTAACATATCAGAGCGCCAATAATTCTTAACATTGTGTACCATCTTAAGTCTCATTTTCACATACTTAAAACAACTGCATAAACTCTAAACTTTTTCTTTTTCTTTCTTTCTTTCTTTTCTTTCTTTCTTTTTTTTTTTTTTTTTTTTGGCTTTTTAAAGACAGGTTTCTCTGTGTAGCCCTGGCTGTCCTGGAACTCCCTCTGTAGACCTAAACTTTTTCTTTTTATCTGGAAATATCTAATCATTTACTATGAGGCATAGGTGCTTGATTACCGGGAGAAGGCATTGAAAAGCAAGTTCTTTTAAATAAAGGGATAGTAAAAAGCAAATTTTTAGTACCTAACGTCTGTTTTGTGAGTTTACCTTTCTCAGCATCAAGCTGGTCAGCAAGGTAAACTTGCTTGTGGCTTGCCTTTCTCAGGCAAGACCTGATTTTAAAACTTGTGGGGAGGGGCTGGCTTGCTGCTCCTAAACTGATAAAGCTAGGACTTGGCCTTCAACATACAGAAATCTGAGAGGGATAATTTGGGCAGGAAGTATAAACCAAATGGCCTCTGTATCAGTTAGAATGACAAATTTACCGCTACCTGGACAGCCGGTATGGTGATGTCAATGGCTTTGTTGGGGGCAAAAGTTGTCAGTGTTTGGCAGCCATATAGGGCAGCATTAAGTCTTCAGCTGCCACACAGGACAATGACAGCATTTAGTCAACAGACACAGAAGGTGGTGTGTGTGTGTGTGTGTGTGTGTGTGTGTGTGTGTGTGTGTCTGTCTGTCTGTCTGTCTGTCTGTGTGGTGCAATTCTTTACCACATTTGAAGCAAGCTCTAGGTGGAGTCCATTGCTGGTGGAGTCCATTGCTTCCCATCTTTTCTCCTGTTACCAGAAACTGGTATTTTTGTCTGCCAGGGTGAGTGATGAGGAGTTAAACTTACTGGTAGGCAGAGATTGAGAGAGGAAACATGGCTTGGTAATAAAGGTGGACAGTTTCTTCCTCAGTCTCCTAATTTGAGACAAAAGCCTGAAGCTGAGAAATCCTGCTGACAAACTAGCTCAACAAGTTCAAGGCCTGGTTGAGAACTTGTCATACATACTTTCTCAGACCAATCAACTCCCACCAAGTGGGGAGGAAGGCTTTTCAGAGCCTTTAAAATCCCAAGCCTCCAGTAGCGACTGGGCTTTTCGGCTTCCCGAGGTCCCCGCCCCGTAGCTGACTGTCAGCGGTGCTTGGGAGTTCTCTACTGTTATTTGCTGTACTTCAGATTTTTCTGCCTCTTATTTCTTTAACTGACAGGAAAACTGAACCCAAGCAAGACCCCTAGACCATATTATTTCTAGACTGTGCCACTTCGGGGGCTTGCCTCCGGATTTCTTCTGAAGACAGTACAATTTTGAAACCTCATCCCTGGTTCGTTTTTGAGGACTATCGACTCACCAAGGTAAGCAATCCAGGAGGGGGACGTGTGCTGGCCAGTCCAATTGGCCCAACCACAAGGCGTCCAGGCGCTTTTCTCAGGTTCCTGTAACACAGTCACTAATGCCTTTAGGCAGAGATGCTCCTTTAGGAGCCTCACAGAAACACACCAGACCTCTGTGTTGGCGTCCCTGGATGTGCCGGTTAGGGTACCTGACTAACCTCACTGGTTACCACCCCTTGTTCTCATTGCAACCTCAGGTAGAGAAGGCAGGCCAGATGCAACGGTAAACCTCTAATCGTAGCCCCTGAAACAGAGATAGGACGATCACTGCAAGGTGACAGCATCCTGGTGTATAGTGAGTCAAGCCAGCGGTGTGAAGTGATGCGTGTGACTGAGGTAGTCCCACCCCCACTCCTCCACCATTGGTTTCTAAGTCTTCCTTTATTTATAAAACATGCCAGAATATTTCAGGTATTTACAAGTTCTTTCATCTCTAGCAGTTCATATTGAATAACCTTACCTTCATTTAAGTGTTTAATCTTTTTAACAGCCTCAGTTTGTCCATGCTATATTGTCATAACATCAGAAAATTCTTTTTTTTCTGCTTGCTATTGATATCCTGTTCCCATGAAGTTATTTCTATCTTTTCTTTTTTTTGGGGGTGGGTGGGTTGAGACAGGTTTTCTTTGTGTAGCCCTGGCTGTCCTTACTCTGTAGGCCAGGCTGGCTGAAAACTCAGAGATCTACCTGCCTCTGTCTCTTGAGTGCTGGGACTGAAGGCGTGAATGCTACCACTGCCTGGGCCATGTTTACTTTTTATGTTATGAGAATAAGAAGTTAGAGTCACACAGCCTAAAGATTTTAGCATCTTTATTTCAAGAGGAATCTTCTTTGTTTTAAAAACCATTTGTATCAACTACTTTTGTACCTAAAAGAAAAAAAAAATGTTTTAATCAGTGAAATGGTCACAATTTCAAATATGGATATACTATGTCATCAGGGGATTTCATATTGAGCAATTCTCCAGAAAATTACACTTTCCTATAACCAGAGCCAAATCCAAAGGAAGTTTCACTATTGGATTGGTCAGTCTTTCAGTAAATAGATGATTCAGAACTAGGAACTACCTTGGAGAATTGTGTGTGTGTGTGTGTGTGTGTGTGTGTGTGTGTGTGTGTGTGTTTGTTCATTTCTGTTTTGTTTTAAATGGCTCCATGTTCTAATATTCATTCTTCAGGTCCAAAATGGTTTGTTTCATTGCGCCCCATATTTAATTTTTGGTTTGGGGAATCTTTAAAAATATGGTCAACTTACAGAGTTAGTCTCTCCTTCTGCCTTTGCATAAGTCCAGTGATTAAACTAGATTGCAATGTTTGTACAGGGCCTTTTACCCACTGTGCCATCTCACTGGTTTGAAACACAGTTAAAGAAAAGATGGTTCTGTCTGGGTTTTGTGAGCTACATGGTATTCATTGTCTCATCACCTTAAATATCTTCCAACTAAACATGTTTTTAAAAATTTGCTAATATCTTGCTTATGAAAGCACAAACAGCAGTTGTTAGGTTATACTTTCCCAAAAGGAAACAACAATACTAGATGCAAGCTTAACTAATGAGGCTAGTTATTAGCTCCTAGTACTTAAAACACAGAGGCAGGGTATTTCAAGACTAGCTATATCAGCATGAATTCAGGCTCTTTCCATAACATTCTTATCATTCACAACAAATTAATGTACTTAGCGCCATCTTCCTTAACATCTTATGACAGTTGAGTCACAGGTGTGACATCTGTAGAACAAGTGAAAGGTGACTCTGAGTGGTTCTTCCTGTATAGTGCACTTAGATGAAGAATCATTTTTAAAAAGCACCTTATCTTCAGTCCAACAAGATAAAATACATAGCCACAGATTCCCTACTCTAGAACAGTGGCTCTCAATCTGTGGGTCAAGACCTCTTGGGGACTGCATATCAGAAATCCTGCATATCTGATTTTCTATTATGATTTATAACAGTAGCAAAATTACAGTGATGAATAACAATTAATAATTTTTTGGTTGGGGTCACATAACATGAGGAGCTATATTAAAGGGTCACAGCATTAGGTAGGTTGAGAATCACTGTTCCAGTCAGAGCTTATTATATCCTGACATCTAAATCAATTACAGATCACCATGATGAGAGTAGATTAAAGATAGGTAGGCATAGGCTAGCCTTTGTGATCTGAGCCATGATAATATTAATTGTGAAGAATGTCAATTAATAACTGCTTCAATAACCAACAAAGATGACCAAATTAACATTTAGAAATCTAAAGAAAAATGGCACAAAACTTATGTATGTTCTCTCCTGGAATTATGTATCTCTCTTTGCACTTCATTCCCTCCCTTTCCACCAAATAATCTTCAGATATACATTTTGTTGTAAATGTGAGGGGCTTTCAAAATTAATATTCTCTTGCTTATTTCCCACATAATCATCTATTTATTGTCATTACCAATCAGCTTCATAGAAGATAACATTTAGTTAACAAAAGTGTCACTATATTTAATAATTGTTACAATCTTGAAAATCTACATTGCTTAAGTATACGTTATTTTCTTGCTAAAACAAATATGAATTTAGCAATTTTGGTAACATTTAGTTCATAAGTACAACTTTGGTATTTTAAAGAATTACAGGCATTTCTGAAAAATAAACAATCATGTGTAGGAAAGTGCATGACTTAGTGATTATTCTGTAAACCATCTATGTGTTTTCTCTTACCTAACACTTTCCAAAATCCTGCCTATTTTGTCTTTACTTGTGATTCAGTTGATAAAATCCAGGTGTGAGTATAATTTGTGTCTAATGAGAAGGATTACTGAAATTTGAAGGCAAACATTACCATGAATTGTTTGGTTTGGTTCACAGCAACCCAGAAATCATTTAATGAGAAATTGCTAAAATCTTGTTTTATGAAGAGACAATATCAGACCTTCTCAGTTTTAAAAGTTCACTACTACTGTCATTTTGAAAAGTCAACACACTCTCCCTCCCTCTTCTTTTTCTAGAGACAAAATGGTAGCTGCTTTTTTGTAGTTTCATACAAGTATACAATGTATTTATCAAATCCATTCCCTACTCCCTCTCCTACAACCCTTCTCATAAACCATAGAGTCTAATTAGGGCTGCCAGTGTGTGCATAGTGTTCATCCACTAGACGTTGGGCATCCTACTTCTGTGGGTCTGGGGTCATTCAGTGATTTAGAAGTTTGACTCAAGTTTTGATTTTGTAAATTAAAGGTTTTATAGTAAAAAGAGATTTCCCAGGCCCAAACCAAAGAGTTCTCTAGGTAAGGCACCAACTAAGGATTATAAAAGCAAAACCTATGAAGTTATAATTTTGAGGAGCCAAATTAACTCCTATCCTGTCTGGGTGCAGGCAAGGCTTGATTTTATAATAGATGTCTAGCAAGTGCCTCAGCCATCCAAGCAAGCAAGGGTTTCAAACAAAAGCAGAACTTAGCAGTTAGAATCTTTCATCTTGTGACCCATTACCTTGTAGGAATAGCAGAGGTAGTGAAATATTTTGCAATAATCGGCAATTTTTAAAGAATAGCCCAACTGTACCAGGATGTGATCCATCTTGGGCCAGCTGACATTCAAGGTAGGAGCAACTTCCTCATGGCTTACACAAGGTAAAAACAATGTTGTTTTTTTACAAACTTAGCACTGTAAATTTATCCTCTAAACATAATATTCACCATTACACTACCTTGAGCCATAATCATCAAAAGAGATTTTTTTTCTCATCTCCAGCAACCATCAATTAACAATTCCTTTCAAGTAGAGGTGGGGCTTCATGAGTCCCATTCTTAACCATGCTAGAATATTGACCAGCTTGATCTTGTACAGGTCTAATGCAGGCAACTACAGTTACTCTGAGTTTTTGAGTGCAAAGGTCTTTTCAAGTCCAGAAGACACAATATTTCATCAGTCTTTCATGACCTCTGGCTCTTACATCTTTTTACACCATCTTCTTTAGTTTTGCCTGAGCATGGGAGCACATTGTGATATAGACGAATACTCCTCAGCCAATTATTTTCTTCACTTTATCAGTTGTGACTCTTCCTAATAATAGCACTAAGAAGCTACCCTGTTGGAGAGTGGCTGTGAAAGTTGCATTAAGCTATGTTTGTAAGAATAAGCATGTAGAAGGTAGTTTGATATTGTGTCTATTTAGCAAAACAATAGTAGTGGGTTCTCCCTAGAGCCTGTGATCTCCTTAGCTATATGTTCTCAGAAAGATTTATAATGCCAGGCCTGAGTTTCCTCTTGTGGAGTGAGCCTCTAAAAATCCAATTAGAAAGCTGTTGGTTACCCCCATAACACTTGTGCCTCTTTTGCACAAATAGGCACATATTGCCAGCTGGCAGCTAGGTAAGACTGTTGATGACTTTTCTCCCTGAAGATCTAGTTCAGCAGGTAAAACATTTGCTCCATAAGCAAAAAGAAGTTTCAATCTCGTATGCCTATATAAAAGCTGAGGGAGGCAAATCAGGGAATCAGCAAGCTGGAAGACAGACTAGCTAAACAGTGAGCTCTGGGTTCAGTGAAGACCCTTCCTAGACCTTGAAGGTGGGGAGTGATTGAGGAAACATCCAACATTAACCTCAGGCTTCTACCCACATGCACTTATATCCCCCCACCATGGGCACTCACATATATGAACATGTATACATACATGCATAAAAAACACATAGATATACACATGGAGCTTTTTGTCTTCTGTGTTTAAACTACTCTCAGAAGGCAACATTTGACTATGAAGCAGTGTTTCTACTGTGTTCAGGACTGGGTTCCAGGACACAGAGGTAAGGAGACCCTGGCTGGAGGAATTCATCAAAAGTTCTTTTTTTAATTTTAGTTGAAAATAGCTCTTTAGGATTTGTGTACACCGAGAAGAAAGAGAAAGGACAGGGGCAGGGAGATGGAGAGGGGAGATAATATGGACAAATTAGAAAGGAACTATGCTATTTACA